CCGCCCTTTCCGAAGAATCCGGTCGCAGCATTTTCAGTATCGAGATCAGACCCGACAACGACAGATACGAAATCCCCCAGCTCACAGAGGTGGCTGTGCAGTAAACACCTCTCGTCACACGCGCAGACCTATCTAGAAACACGATGAACAAAGTACGCAGTGCCGCGAACCCGAAAGGCGGCGGCGCCGGATCAACCCTGCAGCGTGCACTGAGAACCCTCGGACGATTATTCGAAACCATGAGCCCAAACACCCCCCTTAACCAACACCTCCTTATTCAATTCTCATCATCAGCACTTTTTTTTCATTCAAAACGGATACCACTTTGGATTACCTGTACCATTTGCATCAGAAGCACAGCAACGGCGCAATAGTGGTTTATTTTACAAACGACAGAAACAGCCGGAGACGCAACGATCTCGACAGGCTTAGGAGTAACGGCCTCATGGATGACCACAACAGCAGAAGAAGGACCCACGGAGTCGGGGAAGGGGCAGCAACGGAAGAGATGGGGGACATGGGATGATATAGAGTCCCCCCGTACATATTAATGTGTTCAATGTCGAGATCAATCTCGACATCGTCTGGCATCTAGCCAGGATGGGATGGAGGTTGATCTCTGGCGCCCGACCAGCAGGAAGGTGGGCCCTATGTAATGTGGAGGCGCGAAGGGGAAGAGTATACCACGAGTAGAGGTAGAGCAGTCGCTACTGAAGTAGTTGATGAGGTGAAGAAAGAATAACGAGATTACCTATTCTCTCGATACACATGTGCACTTTTGTCCGTGAGATTTCGCCTTTTGCAGTCTGCTGCAGTTCAGTTCGGACTGAGTCCACGTCAAAGGATGGCAAGGTGAGGGTAACCCACCCGCATTCCGACATGGAGTGGTTGCAGATCATCTTTTCCCCTTCCATGGACTCTCATGCTCGACCCTCGCCTGCCCAGCTGACCCGACCCCGGCTCGGCCGGCCAAGTAGGTTGCGCGGCCCACGGCCGGGCTTGGGAGCTACGGCACAACCACGGCACACACGGCAAGGATTTATGGTGCTTTGTAGAGTTCTGTGGCGTTGCGATGGCGCAGACGGCCGCAGACGGCGGGCTTAGATGCGCGAGCTTGACAAAGGTGGGGGATGAGGGGAAAGAAGCAGGAAGGAAGGGTACGGAGGCACGGAGGCTTGGAGGCTTGAGGGGAGCGCTGGGAGGCAACGGCGAAGCGGGAATGGAGCAAGTGACGCTAGAGCCAAGACCCGAGCGATCGGGTCCGGCAAAATCCAGCCTGCGAACTTATCCCCGCTCTCAATTGTGGGCTTGGCTTGGTTTGCTTGGTTGGCTTTTCCCTGGTTCTGGTTGTGAAAGTTCCCTGGTTGGATTTGTGCTGCGCCGATTTCCAGGTTCCGAGGGGCCGGGGTTGGCGGACCGGGGGATCCACTTCGCCGCGCAAGGGTTCTTGGGATGGGGTTTTTGGGTTTCTTCGTTTTCTCTTCGTGAAGTTTCCCCCGTAATCTCTTTAGCGGGGTCGTTCGAAGGCCAGGCGACAAGTGGTTTGCGACATTTCGGGAATTTCCCCAATGAGTGCCTTGGGGTAGGAGAGAGTCACAGGTGGTAATGATGGTCATGCTCTGTCAAGCATTGTGCACAGCAATTGATCAAGTATCGTACGGGCGACGTGGGTATAGTGTGTACCCTTAAGATAGCTTCGTTACCGGGTATGAGACCACAACCTCATGGCCAGACAAATACCATCTCTAGAGTATTCAGCTGCATGTTTACTCAGTGGGCCTCTACGAATATATCTTCTAGACCTCATTTCTACTTCGACGGCGGAACCATCTACAGTTGCCTCAACCACTTGTGCTTCGAAAGCTTTCTCAACACCATGTCTTTAAGTTTGTAGTATACGGCCCAGAAATCCAAACGTCTCAAAGCGAGGTTCAATTCCCTCAAGTCGTCTTCGAAAGCATTGTACCGAGCCTGAGGGTCCGACCTCCTCAGACGTTCCATCGCGTCACTGAAATCCCTTATAGATTGATCGCTAACTCGCTGCCCGTTCGAACGTAGAGTAAAAGGGTTCGAGGCCGGGCCTCGCACAATGTAGATCCCTAAGCCAGCCAAAAGACCAGCCGCGAGAGCGATCCAGAGCCACGTGCAGAGACTTCTTCGAATGGCTAGTCTATCATGTGGGCTGTACGTCGTGGGTCTGCGTCGCATCTCGAGCTCGGTAAGGGCCCAGAAGAGCAGGGCGCACGCTGGTGGTACTAGAGCATTCTGCAAGGTAGTCACCGAGCGCCACGCGGACGGAATCTCCCATAAGAGAGACATGTACACCGTGGCAACGAACAAAACGAGTACTGATGGGTTGTGACCAAGATCGACTGGGTGCCTCACAACATCGAGAGTTGCTGCCGCGGCGCCTGAGAGCATCTGGCTCCAGGATTGTGCGGCTGGCGCCCGCCTCGTGTACCTGACTGGGGAGAAGGATCGGATGACCCTGCCGGTGCTGCTGCCGCGGCCGCGGAGCAAGGGGTCCATTCTAGAGGCCAACTGTACCGACGTCTGTCTGATTCGCAACGTGGTAGCGATGTCCTGTCGAATACTAGCAAAGGAGACCATATATCCGACACCGCTGGAACGAGCGATCAAGACGCCAAGAACGCGTCTCGATTTATCGTCGACGATCCAGGAGCCCGAGTCTCCTGATTGAAAACCTGCCAGATCGAGATTAGCAAAGTGGCCATTGCTGCAATGCTTGGGGAAAGGTTGAGTCTCGGGACGCCATACCTCGACTGGAGGCCTCTACCTCGACCGTCCAAATTTCTTGCACTCTTTCACCACCGCCCGAGACCATGAACGAAGAGTTTGGGCAAAGATGGCTACGCACCAACCCTTTCATTCCGGAAACTGCCCACACCGTTTTCTGGGACGGCGGCGTGTCTGGATGATCGTGGTCCACGAATACCTGATTTAGATCAGGGCAGTAGCTTTCGATGAAAGGATTCTGCCACATTGGTGGTTTCCCTGCGCCATCTGGGATTCTATTCAGAAGCAATAGGTTGGCTTCCACCGGTACAAGTAGCCAGTCGTCCCCGCTCCGTAGTCTGTCTTCATCGATTCGGCACGTGATGTATCCCTCCTTGGTCGTCAAGTCTTCAGGTGTGATGTGACTTGCGTTTGTTGCTTGTATCATGTCTGCGAATGAACGCTCTGCGGTAGATTCTTCCTTCTCTGTCGAGGCCTTACTCCTCATTTCCCTCGTGGATCCTGCCCCATCGTTGAGGGTATCCTCTTCCATTGACGCAGTCTCGTGAATCAGTCCCGCGGTTTCGCCCCTCGCGCTCTCACCATCGTCCGAAGCAAAAGAAGTAACCGAATCCGAATCGCCACTATCAATGTCACCATCAAAGATAAAGAGCGAGCCCATATCAGAATCGCTCTCATCGTCAACCGAATTGTCTGGAGGCTCATCCTCGTCATTGGGGGCGTGGCTCGTTGTAAGAGCGTGGTATTTGCCCCTGATCGAAAGAAGGCCGCCGATCGTTGACGTCTGCTGGCCTAGGTTGGAGGATTGGACAACGATCAGACAGCCGCAGAGAGTGCGGGCTTGTGCCGGATCGCGAATCGCACACGCAGCTTCGAGAGCTGTGCGACGGACTCGCTCCTTGTGGTAGCATAGATCGAGTGGGGAGAAAACATGTCGATTCTCGGGCCTTGACATGATCTTGTGAAAGAAGCGGATCTCATCCCACCTGTTCAGACCGACGATACGGATGAGGGTTATGGTGTCTCTCCTCGCGTCCGCCGTGCCTATCGCTGCTATTGTTTGATTGGACCCATACGCAGACGATATGGAGACGAGGCTGGGCACAATTGTTGGCAGAATGAACTCGGATTTAGCGAAGAGTTGATGTCTTTGAGCACTCAAGGTAGTGACGAAACGCTTCAAGACATCCTTTTCTTCCGATGTGAATGCGGTGTTTGGGTCAACTTCTGCTTCAGGGCTAAGTCTCTTCAATCTTGCCGGTCGCAGAATCACTCTTCGAGGCTTTTGTGGTAGATTTGGTGTTGCGGTTGGTTCCGTCAACGGCTTTGTCTTCGCCGGTGGAGCGATTTCTGCAGGATGGCTTGCTTCAAGAGGAGTTTTTGTTGGGCTGGGTTCCACTGGGAGAGACTCTACTGGAAGACAATCAATCGGATGAGAGTCTCCAGGTGGAAGCTTCATGAAGGAAGGTTCCAATGTTGGAGTTTGCACACTTTGAGGCTCCAGTAGTTCCGCTGGGAGAGGTGTAATCGGAGGTGTCTCTTCATCCGCCGAACCAAGATCGACCACGTTCTCTGAAACCGAGTCGTCGTCTGCGTTGCTGTTACCACTAGAGTTGTCGCAAATCAATATCTTCCTCACAGGTTCAGGCTGGTGAATAGGTGCTTTCGCAACCATTCGGACCAAACCTATCTGGACGACCCAGAGAGTGATCCCATAAAGAATGAAACCGGGGCCCTCCTCCAGGGGTTCTGAATCTGTACAGCTCTTTTCCATGACTGCTTCGGTTATGGATCTAGAGCTGAGACCTGTTGGAGAAGGGTGTCGATATCGCCGTGTTGAGCGGAATAGGTCAACGATCGCATTGGTCTAGACAAGTGATGCTACCTGGCAGCTGATCTCTGGTAATAAATGATAACCATCAGAGATGGAGTCGCGAGAAATGGGGGTTGGGGATCTAATGAGGCTGTGAGACACCAAGACTTCACAGGGCGACGTATTTCATGCACTACGGCCGGTATCACACCGAATGGATTAATTGGTCTGTGTCACTAGTAATGCAGTCATGTGGCACCGAGAGCGAGGATGCTGGCCGTGAGATCCTCAGCCTGGTCTGCGGATCCCAGACGAAATTCCTTTCAGCAGGATTCCTTCCTCGCAGATCTCACCTCGCATTCGTTATTCTTCCTCACCAACGCTACCTAGCTAACATACTGCCGATGATCAATGCCCTCCACCCGAGAAGATGGCCGATAGCGACAACCGATCTGATGATAGAATCATCGCAGAGTCGATTTGGGGGCCATGCGAATCAAGCCAAGAGAAACATCTAGCCAGGTTCCTTGATCATTGCGCGCTGCAGCGGCTGTCACTCTCTGTCGACCAACCGAGGACGGGGGACTCGACAAATGAGATAGCAGGAGCCATACGACTACTCCGATCGAAGCCCGCAGTCCGGAAAGATGAGATTCTGAGCCGGATGTCACCAAACCTGAGCAGACTGGCATACCTAGATTGTGCCGTCCGTACAATGGTCATGACGGAGTGCGAATCGGAGGGCACCGCAGCTATTGGGAGCGGCAACGTCCTTCGGTGGGCTGAGAGCGAGACATTGACGGATTACCTGGGCCGAATCTATCCCCAGTCAACATCGATGGACGTTCCTAAAGACCTCATCGACTTCAAAAACCTCAGATGTCACATTCTAGCTAGGGACGCTGGTATTAAGATCCAACAAACAGAAAAGCTTTCTGATCACCTGTACCTCAGACACAGCCCAGGGAGTAAGATCCTCCTTGTTTTCTCTCACCGAGCATTCCTCGAACATAGCCGGGAGAGATTGAGCGTAATCCGCCAGGATCTGAGCCACTCTACAGATGAGGCATTATCATTGTGAGTACTTGACGAGGTCACCACCAATGTCCGTCTTACTCACATGGTAATCTAGAGGATGCCTACCTGCAAAGCTCATCGATGAGACATTGAGAAGTTACAACCTCCTCTTCCCGCCCATCGGAAACGCCAAATCTAGGAAGCTCTTACGGGAATGGGTTAAGCGTGAAAGACTAGACGAAAGCCTCTTGAACCCCTCCTTCGACCATTCCAAGAAAGACCCTCCCCGGACTTTACACGATCTCTACGAGGATTTCCCATACTGGGCCCCTCAATTGGCCCGTCTGCTGGAAGAAGTCGATGATCCGACCCCGACGACACGGTGGGAGAGATACGCAGAGCGGAGAAAGTCCCACCGGCACACATACAAGTGCGCCATCGCCGCGCTTGTAGTGGCTGCCGTATCGGGGACGCTGGCGACATTGTTGGCGGCAGTTCAAGTATGGATATCGTACTGTGACTGGGACAAGAATACCAACAAGACACTGTGTTAACTCGAGTCTGCCGTGGTTGCTGGAGAGAGAGAGAGACAGAGAGAGAGAAAGACATTCAATGTTATTCGTGCTTGGAACGTGAAAAAATCTAGTATGCCGTTTATAATGGACTCAAGCAAGTCACGTCACGGCACACTGAAGAAGTGTTGATCATTCGTCATCATTGCGACTAGCTAGCTAGCAGGCCAAGAGCCAGACTCTCTATCTTCCTCCGCGTCTGTGACCCGCATGAAACCCTCGCATACGAGGGACATACATTAGGTATCGATCCATCCAACGCCTGAAACGAACAAAAACAAAGCCAATGATAGCCTAACCCCTCTCGAACACTTGGGCCTCGTCCATTCCGTACAGTCTGGCTTGCAAGAGCGGCTCTCTAAAGATGCAGAGGCCTCGTCATTGCAAGGAGAGCGAAAGCTAGACAAAGCTCGTGGCGAAGGGGGTGTGAGCGGGTAAGACCGTAGACTACGTCTTCAAAACTCAGTGTGTACTTTTCCCTCCGGTACAATGCATGCAAGAAAGAAAAAGAAAGTGGACCAAGTTGGTATCTGCGAGATTCCACGAGGAGGCTCGTTCGCCAATATGGTCGGCAAAGCCAAATCTCACGGCTCTGCAACCGGTGTATATACTCTGGCAGGTTTTATGGGCAACTTTAATATGCTGCGTGGGCATCATTGATGACAGTAGCGAGGCTACTTGAAGCCATGTCGAAAGGGTTGACGAAAAGGCTTCTTTCCGAAACTGGCGGACCTCTAGGCGCCAGGCACCGGGACGGGCGTTTCCTTCTTGCTTGACTTGGGCTCGTCTGTCTTCTCCGACTTTCTCTTCTTGCGCTTCTCCTTCTTGGGCGTCTCCTCGGCTGCGGGAGATGACTTGGAGGGGATCTGCGGAATTGGGACAGCGGATTCGCGACGAACACTTGGTGGAAGAATAGGTGTCTCCTTGCGGGTCGAAGCAGGTTCATCAGCCTTGGACTTCTTGGAGCTCTTCGACTTCGGCTTCGGCGTCGAGGTCTCGGGGGCCGGGCTGGATGCAGCGGGGAGGCTCGAGAAGGAAAAACCGGGCTTGGGGACGGTCGGCGGGGGAATGGCCGTCACCTTCTTCACAGAGCCCTGAGCGGGAGTATCCTGGGATGAAGCGTCACGCTTGACCTTCTTAGCCTTCTCCTTGGATGACTGGGCCGGGGTAGATTCCTCGTCTGTGGGCAACTTGCGCTTAGATGCCTTCTTGGACTGGCTGGGAGTAGCAAGAGTCGGCTTGGGGTTGGATCCCACACTCGAGATGGACTCGATGCTATCACGTCGCTTCTTGCTCTGCTTCTCCTTGGTCGTGGGCAGAGGCTGCGAGTTGGGTACCTCGATAATGGTAGATTGAGAGTCCTCGACAGGATCCTTAGCGACCTTGGACTTTTTCTTATCCTTCTTCGAGCTCTTGGGGGTAGGCTCGTCGATATCCATGGCATCACCTGCCGGAGCTGCGGGAGCGGATGTGTGCTTAGACTTTTTGGTGCGAGTCGGCAGAGCAGGTGTCGAGGTCATCTCGACATCTTCGTCGGAGGATTCGTCAAAGCCGATCTTTCCCATCGGAATGTCATCGGGGACACCAATAGGGTGGAAGCGAGCTCTCAAACCCTGCGGCTGGGGACGAGGAAGGGTTGGCTGAACGGGCCTGGGAGCGCTGGGCTCGCTACCAACCAACTGGGTCACGCGCTTGACATGCAGAACCTTGTCGACCTTCCTGGGGGCTAAGCTGTGGCGTTAGCAATTTGACCTCATGCGCTTGTTCCGTCCTCCTTACCTGTCTCATAGCGATTGCCCTTCTTGTTGGGAATGAGAAGCTCTACTGCAGTGGCACCAACGTCGAAGCCGACAGTGTAGTCCTCCGAGTTGTGCTTGAAAATGGCGTCTCCCTTGTGCGCCTTGTCCAAGGGAATCTGAAGCTTCTCCACAATGTTGATGGGGATGGAAGCGGGCGCGGTGAAGTACCAGAGCTGCTTGCCGTCGAGCTTGGCCTTGGTGAAGAAGTCGGTCATATCTTTGCCATCCTCATCGCCTTGCGCCTGTCTCAGAACGAAATCCTTGCCAACGAATCCAGGAACGTTGAGGTCCTTGCTATTACGTCTGGGGGCAACAGCAGCGGCAGTCTCCTTGTTGGTTTCTTCCTCCTCATCAGAACTAGAATCTTCCTCTGCATCTTCCTCGTCCTCTGCGCTCTCCTCGCCACTGCTGGAACTTGCCTCGCTCGAACTGGTCGAGGCCGGCTTGGTTGCCTTCGCACCATTGACCGCGGGCTTGGCTTTAGGCTTGGTCGTCTTTTCGACCTCGCTCTCGGAATCACTCTCAGAATCGCTGGAAGAGGTTGTTGACGCACCATTGGCAACTGGCGTCTTCTTTGTGGCATTCTGCACTGGCTTCTTCGCAGTCGGCTCGCTTTCGCTCTCACTGTCACTTGAGGACGAGTCTGTGTCGGCCGCCGCCTCTTCCGCTGAGGACTCTTCGGAAGAGCTCTCGGGTCTGACTGGTGCTTTCTTGGTGGCAGAGGGCTTCGCGTTGGAGGTCTTGTGTTCGACGTCGCTATCGGCAACCTCATCGGCCTTGTCGCGCTTGGCCTTCTTCAGAGGAGTGCTGGCAGATTTGCTCGACGCCATCTGACCGTTAATCTTGGCGAAGAAATCGGGATTAACGGGGCCACCATCATCGTCGCTGCTGTCACTGTTGCTGGAGCTGTCGTCGGAATCGGACTCCTGAGCACGAGGGTCGAACTTTTCGGCCTTCTTGGCCTGCGTGCCTCGAGCGAATTTGCTCTTGGGCTTTGCGACTTCTTGGCCTTGCTTCTCGAGAATTGCGCTCAGCGAGTGAACGCCATCAAGCTTGCGTGACGACATCGTGCCTGGTGTGCTTCTGGAGACAAGGCGAAATGCTGGCGTAGAAGGAACTGAGGGCGTCGAAGCGGCGGGAATGGCTGGGACAGGAATTTTTCGAGGGTCTCGCAAAGATTCAGAAATCTTTGCAGGGATCGCACGGACCCGAGGTGGGGTCGCGGTGGTAGCGGGAACCGCGACGCGGTGAGAGCTAACCCGCCTGCCTGCCGCGCTTCCGGGGGACTTAAAGTGCGTTGGCGTCGGCGTGGGTGTCCGGATGCGCATGAAGGATTTTCCAGCGCGGTTTTTCGGTGTGAGAGCTTCACCTCCGAATCTCATATCGCGATCGCGGAGTCCGACGGATTCGCCTGCCATTTCGAATTGACGCCCACAGTGCTCGATTGAATGAGGTGTTGTCAGTTTGACTGTGGTAGAAATTGAGCAAAATTCTGCGTGTGAGTTTGGCCAGTTGAGGTTGCAATGAGTTGAGATAAGAAAAAAAAAAGAAAAGCTGACCTGGCGTTGGCAAGTTGCAGGAAGAAGGTAATACGCGAAAAGGCAGTCACGACCCGGGGTGGCTACCTGCCTCATTCAGACTGTGAGAGGAACCGCAACGTACCTAAGGTACCGTTTGAGCAAAGTCGGGAAGGATTGTGCCTTCCTGAGGTTATCTTGGTGTAGCTGCTCGGCAGGCACAATCAACATCTCTCCTGCCGTTGCACGGGATCAGTCTTTGAAAGATTCCCCTTTGATATCGATACTGCTGTAGAAGACTTTTCCCCATTGCTACCAGAGAAACCCAACATGGCGACGCCAAAGCGACGGAAGGTCGAGACATCTGAGGGCTCAAGACGTTAGTTGTCACCCCTTGTGGTGCTTTGCAACATCGTTTTCACTTAAGAAACGGCTAACAGCCGAATAGCAATGAGCGCATTTGCTTTGAGGCAACAATTGCTTTCAGCGAGCCCGTCCTTGTCTCCAGCACCTCAAGCTGAATCTCAGCCGGCCCCTAATGCTCAAGTATCAACTCCCACGCCCACACCCAAAGTACGGTCTCCCGCGAAAGGAAGATCCTCAAAAAGGGTCGCCTCTGCCGAGGATGAAGCAATCCAGCACACGCCACAGACGAAGCCGGAGCAGAGTGCATCTGCGCCAATAGCAGGAGCGACAGAATCCAAGTATAACCTCTCCACCTCGTCCTAAGAGCCCCCTCTGATGACTTCGCAGTAGCCCTACGGCAGATCCTGACGAGATCAACCCGTCAAAGATTGGACCTCAGCAGTTCTCGACGTTCAGGCCGAGTAAGAGCAACTCTCGCAGAGTGGCAGGAGGCATTCTAGAGCTAAGACTTCATGACAGCGAGGTAAAGACTTCCTTGTATGCGATATTAGTTGTTTCATTGACAAGTCAAGCGCTTCCTGGTGCTCGGAAGCTATGGTATCAAGGTCCTCGATGGTGAGATCACTATAGCAGGGGCGAGCGTTCGACCTCCAGACGGCATCAAATGGGTTCATGCCCCTCACTGCCATGCGATCCCCGTGCTGCGCTGCTCGGAGGAGACTAGACTTGAACTGCATCCTCATCCACAGGGTGCAAGTCTGCGCAAGCTTGAACGGCTTTCGCCTCTCTTCCGAAGTTTGTGGCATGAGCCTGAGGGCAAAGCAAGCAAACGAGGCGCAAAGACCGATACCTACAAGATTGTGAGTCAAGATCCTGGACGGCTCGAATCCATCACATACTAATACTGCACAGATTTGTACCTCTGAAGACGCGCCGAAGCGAGCTCTGATCCAAGATCTGCGATCGCATCCCGCCTGGAACAAGAAATTGGCGGGGCTAACGAAGGCGAAACCAGACCAGCCAGCCCTCAGCGTGATGCTTTGCGGCCCCAAATCGTCCGGCAAATCCACTTTTGGCCGTATACTGGGAAACCGGCTGCTCACGGGCGCTGGCCAACAGACTCGAACCCGGGAAACACCACTATCAGTCGTTGTGATGGAGCTAGATCCCGGGCAGCCAGAGTATACTCCGGCAGGTACAATCGCCTTGGTTCAGGTCAGAGAACCCAACTTGAGTCCATCTTTTGCCCGCATTGCGGCGAACGAGCAGGATGTGACCGTTATGAGATGTCACTCAATAGCTTCGGTATCACCTGCCTCCGATCCAGAGCTGTATCTGGAGTGCGCACTCGATCTGTTTCAACGCTATCAAGACACATGTAAAGGGCTGCCGTTGATCATCAACACCCCGGGTTGGGTCTTGGGAACAGGGCTGGACCTACTAAGTGAGCTCGTCTCGACGATCAAGCCAGCCGAGGTCATTTACATGTCCGAAGACGGCCCTAGGGAGACCGTCGAAGGCTTGCAAGCGGCGTGTAAGACGGCCTTTACGCTGCTTCCCTCGCAGCAGTCAGAATTCACTTCTAGAACCGCGGCACATCTACGTTCGATGCAGGCGTTGGCGTATTTCCACACCAAGAGAAACCCGTCGAATCAGCTGCTGTGGAACCCTACTCCGCTTTCATCATCGCCTCCTTTGATGGTCGGCTACAAGGGGAAGAACCGCGGCATCACTGGGATCATAAGTTATGAGTACCAACCGCCGGCAGACCTTCTCGCAGAGACCATCAACGGGTCTATCTTGTGTCTAGTCGAGACCGAGGATGTCAGGGCATTCACTCGTCTAGCTAGAGAGAGCATTGACTCTTCCGCTGTGACATCAAGCGCTGACGTGATGGACGTTGATGGTGTCGCGTTAGACTTGGAGGCAATTATCGCCAGGACGCCTGAGGGAATCCCTTATATCCCAAACACCGATGCCCAAACTCTGGATCCACGATACGCGCAAACACTGGGCCAGGTGCTATTGCGAGGCATCGACACAAAGACTGGCGCTCTCCAGATCCTCACGCCCATTCCCCTGCAACGCATCGAAGCAGCCAAAGCAGCGGGCCACCACTTGTTGCTAGTCCACGGCAAGCTCGACTCCCCCGGCTGGGCTTACAGTGAAGACTTGTACTACCAGTCTTTCAACGGCAGTGATGTAGATAACTCCAAGTATGACACGGTGGAAGTCATGGACGAGGGCACTGAGAGCGACAAGTCAGACGAGGAGCCCGAAAACCTCGAGCTTGCTGGCGACATTAGCGACACGCCGTGGATCGAGGTCCTCCAGGGCCACGAGAAGCGTCCCGTGGGGTCGAGGGTGTGGAGAGTCCGGCGCGATCTCGGGCGGGCCGGGCCGGGCGTTGAATGAAATAGATAACACGGATATCATTTACCGGTACTCTAGAAAAAGGTCCGAGGAGTATCTAGCTTTGTGAAGCAAAAAGTTTAGATTATTGTAGCCGGTGGGCTGAAAGATACCTCGTTATGTAAGGCAGAGGCGTCTCATTATCCTCACCTGCCAGTGGCGTATTAGATACCGCTTACACAGCGGAATTACGGGAATGCACCCCTCCACAGGGAAAGCCAGAATGCGGCGGCTTGCATCCACATTTCGAGGTACTCCCGTCCATACATGTGTGGCATGCACACACCGTCCCGCGCATGCCATGTGTGTCTTGAGATGAAGTGCAGCCCGATGCAGTGTGGCAGTCCATTCAGGGCGGCCGCATTACAAAGTACCTTAGTACTTTATACAGTGACACAGTACCTCAACTGAGTGAGTCCCTGCATTGGGGATTTACCCCACATCCCCCGATGACGTCCGTGAGTTACCTTGGGTTGAGGTCCCCAATTGTGCCCCTCCCTTCGGCCCCTCCCCCTCTTTGTCATGCTTTCTCATCGCTTATTTCCCCCAAAACCTTAGCCTCCCAGCGGCAGTTTTCTGCGGATAGGTGGACGTCCAATGATGCTACACGCAATCCAGATGATACTCCGAAGAAGCTTTAATCCGTGGACTTGCCCCCGCGTAGGGTAAATCCGCCCGCGATCATGGGGAAATCAAAGCCTGCCGTATTTCATATATGAATTAGTATTTTTTAACTACTACTAGTCTAGCTCACCTATCCTACTTCTCGAACAATCTACTTCACCTGCTCCCCATCACTGTTGTTCTGAATCTCTAAACTCCTGGCGGTGCACAACATGACTGAACTTCCAGAAAGTAAGGTCGACGTCCTCATCATTGGGGCTGGCCCTGCTGGGCTTATGCTGGCTCTCTGGTTATCTAGACTCGGTGTGAAGACCCGTATTGTTGACAAGAGGACCGCCAAGGTCTACTCTGGCCAAGCAGATGGGTAAGGGGATTGCCCTCCTCTACGACATGACAAGTACTCACATATATCACAGTTTCCAAGTGAGATCCCTCGAGATCCTAGACAGCTTCGGCGTCGCAGAGCGCGTGTGGAAAGAAGCAAACCGCATGCTCGGTAAGATCCCAATCTCACCTCACACCCCAGATCTTGGATTTCACTAACAACAACCGTAGAGGTCAGCTTCTGGAACCCGGACGAGAACGGCACAATCCAGCGCAGCGCAAAATCAGTAAACACAATCCCAGGCCTGTCCCGCTTCACCGAATCCGTCCTGCACCAGGGGCGCATCGAGCAATTCTTCATCGACGGCATCCGCGCCTCGTACCCGTCCAACGAGACACCCTTGAAGGTCGAGCGCATGGTCATCCCGACCTCGCTCGAGATCGACGAGGCCGCGGCCGAGGATTCGGATCCGGAGGCGCATCCTGTGACGGTGACGCTGCGGCACTTGACGGAGGAGGAGGCGACGCCCACGCAGATGCTGAGTAATCTTAGCGATGGCATTTTCCGGAGTAACTTGGCTGAGGACGATGTCGCGGGGATCTTGGATAGGTCCAAGGGCCGTGAGGCGAGGGATGAGGTTGTGAGGGCCAAGTATGTTGTTGGCTGTGATGGAGCGCATTCGTGGACTAGAAAGGCGCTGGGGAAGGAGTTTGAGATGAAGGGGGAGAGTACTGATGCCATTTGGTGAGTGAGCGTAAGATGAGATGTGGTGAGGTGTTGAGCTGACGGTGGGTTCTAGGGGTGTCATGGATATTGTTCCCATTACCGACTTCCGTAAGTTCTCACATCTACCACAGCGACGTGCTATGCTGACTTGAAACAGCCGATATCAGGTTCCGGACCATGATACAGAACACGGCCGGCGCACTGATGATCATTCCTCGCGAGAACCGGATGGTTCGTCTCTACATCCAGCTGAAGGAGGTCTCAGCCGGAGGCGGCCGCGTCGACAGGTCGCAGATCACGCCAGAGATCATCTTCAAGTCTGCGCAGAGAATCTTTAGCCCATACAAGCTGGAGTACCACTACTGCGACTGGTAAGTTTGACAAAAGTTCTTTTTGTAGCGATGGATGGGCGCTAATGTGCTGTTAGGTGGACGGCCTACCAAATCGGTCAGCGAACAGGCGACCACTTTAGCAAACTCAACCGCGTCTTCCTCGCGGGAGGTAAGCAAAGCTCCCATACCTCTGCCCTTCACCCATCTCCTCCAGGAACTAAATCATATGATCCAGACGCCGTGCACACGCACTCCCCGAAAGCCGGCCAGGGCATGAACATATCGATGCAGGACAGCTACAACCTCGGCTGGAAGATCGGCCTCGCGTGCAAGAACATCCTGCCGCGCGACGTCCTCTCGACGTACGAACTCGAGCGCAAAAAGATTGCAAAGGACCTCATCGCCTTTGACGGCAAATTCTCTAAGCTCTTCACGGGCGCGCCGCCAAAGGACATCCAGAGCGAGACGGGCGTGTCGGACGACGTGTTCCAGAAGGCGTTCCATACGAGCCGGATGGTATGCATAAGCACCACTCCCAGTCTTTTGCTTTTAACCCTAGTGTAGAGATGAGGATTGAATGAGTGAGAGGATGAGCTGACGTAGGGCATCACAGTTCACAACCGGCGTCGGCGTAAACTACCAACCAACAGTCCTCGTCGCCAAAGAAGCAGACGCAGACCCAGAAACCGAAGACGACTTACCCAACACCCTCACAAAGAGCGCCGCAAAAAGCACCCAATCCCTCGCCACAAACTGCAAACTCGGCCAGCGCTTCCCTTCCTACAAGGTAATCCGCCAGTCCGACGCCCGCCTCTGGGAACTGCACCACAAGCTCCCCTCCAACGGGCGCTTCCGCCTCGTAGTCTTTGGCGGCGACATCTCCCAACCTTCCCAGCGCGACACCGTCAACGCCCTCGGCGCGTGGCTGTCAAGCTACCTGCCCAAGCTGCCGACCATCGCGTTAGGTCCCGCGTCGGATCCGCATAGCGGGCTGATCAAGTTCAAGACGGACGCGGATCCGAGTATTGTTGATATTGTGCTCGTGCACTCTGCCCCCCGGGACGAGATTGATTTGCTAAGGGACGTGCATGAGGCGTATCATCCGTTTGATAGTAAGCTTGGCTGGGATTATGACAAGGTGTTTAGCGATGGTAAGACGTTTTATGAGGAGCCTGAGAGGGCGTATGAGAAATATGGGATTGATTCGGGCAAGGGTGCTGTTGTTGGGTTGCGACCTGATGGGTATGTTGGGCTTATTACTCCGGTTGGTCATGATGGGGCGGAGCAGATTCAGAGGTGGTTTGATGGCATATTTCAGAGATCATAAGATATTACCAGGCATAGTTTTTAAGTACATAAGTATTGATCAATGGGATATGAGCAACGTGAAGGAAATGTGTCGTCGAATGAGCCCCTGCTGCTGAGCATTGACTTGACACGATGATGCTTGTTATTTGAGCTCGGGATGTACGGTATATACCTCATCGTTTTTCTAATTCGGGACGTGCTGGATGTCGAATCCCATCATAGAGAGTACAAAGTAACATCTTATGGAATCTGGATTGTATGATTAAGCAGAAAAGGAGTGCCATCATGCCGCAGGGGTCGAGGCATCAAAGTCCGCAGAATCGGTATCCGTACTGTACTGAGTATTGAAAGAACCATCGTCACATGGGATTTATGGATCATCAAAGAAACGAAACGGCAACGTGATTGGCTTTGAAGGGTAAATGCCTATGCATGCCTCAAAGGCAAACGCTGTTGAGGTTGGACGCGTCGGGCTTAAGATTCCTGGCGCCGAGGATGGCTTAGGCGACGCGAGATATGGCCTCTCATTGGCCACCATTGAGGTAGGGCATCCCCTCAGATTACAATTAGATGACCTGGCATCTCTGTGACTGCAATCAGTTTTCTCCTCCGACATCATATTTTCATTTTCATACTACCTACTCGAACTTCCATTACATCTCGCAGCTGCCTTCTCCCCCCCTTTTTTTTTTCTCATCGCTTTCATCCATACCCTCTAGAAGTCTAGATGGAAACCCCCAGCCACCTCATGAGAGTCTACCCACAGTGATCATGCGTCACAGATGGCTCAGCCCCTGACTCCCGATATCCCAAGCACAAAACCACGAAGCCACGCTATACTCCGCAGAAAAGATCATGACACAGACCTGAAAGAAAATGCAAACCTCCTCGATCACATCCCCGACATCCCATCCAACACGCGACTCTCAGGCAAGCCCCTCTCATCAACAACATGAGATGAGATAGCCATGCACCATTCCTTGAATACCGAAAGGAAAGACACGAAAGAAAACCCATTCATACCGCTCGCTCGCTCGCTCTCATTTCTTCGTTTCCATCTCTTCATCACGATGCGCGGTTCTTCCCGAAGACCGGCCTTGTTTTGGTGTTGATGCCTCATTTGTGTGGCATGAAATGGGCGGGGCTTCCGGCCGACCTCGGAAGTGAGGTCACCCCTGCAACTCCCAGGCACGGACCACGCCATCACGTAAACCGACCCCCACGAACCTCACCAGAGGTTGAGATGACCGGGCAGGTTGGGGCGACCAGAAAGATGATGAGGAGTCGCGACGCCTTGGTGCAGTATTTGCGGCCGACACTGACTTGAATTTCAGGGCGACTGCATCACTACTACGAAAATTGCGCCCCAGCACCCCGAAGGGCTTCTGTCTGATTATGATTGGGCGGGGCTTCTCCCTCGACCGCCTCAGCGCCGTGGGGAATGAGCTGGTCAACCAGCATGACTGCGTCAACGTCACGCTCGATTCGGCTTTGTAGTCGCTCGCGATTCCCAGCACGATCGCTGCTCACCAACTCAAGGTCGATGTCTTCCTCGAAGTTCCGGAGGCGATCTGCAGCCCCAATTCTAGCTCCTTTCTCTTGAGAGAGCTGTTTTGCCGAAGCACCCCTAAGCAACCCCGATATTAGCCAAGCCGAACCACGACGCAACCGAACGAATGAATAAAACATGAGGAAGGAAATGGATGATGGATGATAGGGAACTTCTCCCCAGCACAAGACTCAAGCTGCGGCATGCCTGACGTCGATTTGACCTTGAGCGCTGGCTTCACTACCGCGTGCAAACCTGCGAACCCGCGGGACCCAGAGCAGCTTTGCTCAGTGCGCGAAACTGGCAAACGATGGCGGTAAAGCCCCAGGAAAATATGCATTCCGTGCCTACACATTCTAGCCGGCATAGCATACTTGCTCACGGCGGTGGTAAAGCTCCAGGAATGAGTGAATGCCATGCCTCCACATGCGAGCCAGCATGGCATACTCGCCCTCGAGGCGTCGTAGGGCTGCATTTGGGGAGGGATGCTGAGATACCAAGAAGAAGTCATGGTGCTCATGGAGCAGCGTGCGGTGTAACGCTATGGAAGAACGAGATCTGATACTTACGACTTGGCTGAGCCCTGCTGGGGTGCGATAGAGGCCATGCTGGATCTTGTTGGCCCCGACGTTGCGTTGCGGGTTGCAAAGGTAAGTCAAGTTGCGCTTGCGAGTGAATGTGTGTGTCGGTACGATCGGTAGAATGATCCTAGAGCCATTCAAGTTTCCACGAAGCAGCAGACTGGCTGGGCGTAGGAAGGTCGTAATGTTTGCCGGGGGACGTTGCTTGTGGTGTCAGGAAGCTGTAAGGAAGAGACAACTTTTGGTAGTGGCTCGAGATTAGATCTTGCTTTGTATTCGATGTAACTGAAGCTTTACTTGCGAAAGCTAAACGTCTTGAAGGAGTGAAGGGTTTGAGGGAGGCCAGAGAAAGTGCGAAGTGAGTAGGTAAGTAATGAGGAACAGGGCGGCGGTGGTGGAAAGCGAAGGAGGTAGAAATGGCACGCGGGTGGTGGTGGTAATGTTGGGTGAGTGACGGCGGAAAGTCGCATAGAGCCCAGGAAAGTCGACGCCAAGGAGGGCCAATGTGCAAGTGTCTGTCCTTTCTGACTCTGCCCTGTTGGTTCCTTTTTGACCCCAGCAGGGGGGGCAGCAGGTGATACTGGGAGACAGAGGACAGCCCAGGCCTTCCAGTATCCGCGGGCCGCCAGGAACGCTGCTGGCGGGGGTCTGGCTGGCGGGGTCTGGCTGGCGGAGGTGCCGCTCCTCGAAAATTTAGGGTTACGAACCAGAACTGTCCGACTTACAAACAGGGCCTCTCCTCGAATAACGCAGGGTCTAATACCGGTCAAGGAATCTCCTTGGGGGGAAGGGTGGGAGCTGTTTGTCTTTCCATGTCCACTGCCATACGTGGTTCCCTTAGGGTGATGAGACTTGTGCGAACCGAGACTCGAAAGTGACATGCAGATTCCCAAGGCACGAATCCGCCCCTCCACAACGCAAGGTAAGGTCCGTAAGGTATGCTTGTTTCGCTTCCTCTCTGCCGCCCCGTTGAAGATTCTGTCATCGACCACCTCTAGGTGTAATTCTCATCTCGCGCCGGAGTAGGTCAAGGTGCGGATAACAATCGGAGAGGGGAGACATACCATGCCGACCGTAAAACAAAAGCAGCTTCTTCCATGGACCCTTTACGTGCATACCTCTAATCAAGGGTCAGGGAGATCGGGGCTTCGCTGAGAGGCTTCTGACAGTGAAAAGCATGCTTGTTTTTTTTTTCTTTAGGAAAGAAAAGTAGTGCTAGAGTAGGCAATGTACAGACGTAACCAAATGTGTAGATCTATAGCATGTACCGTGCACATCGCCCAATCTGTCAGGTCTGGCCACCGCCGACCGTGCGGATCTGACATTGCACAGGTATCTAGCCTTGGAACCCTGCCTTAGTGTTCTGCTATTTCGGACTCTGGGTCAACTCCCCATTTTCGCACAACACATGGCCAAGCACTGAGCCAGATGGACGATTGGTTCCTTTTCGTTTTTGTTTCTGTTCTTCCGTCCTTCCACCTCTTTCGCACCTTGCAAATAAATACACACCTTGGCAGTTGCAGGGATACCCTTTTCAGTTTCACGGCAATACCTTCCCTCCACTCTCTCCTCCCCTTGTCAATTGGCTTCGCAAGGGGTGCGTCTAGAGATTCCTGGACAAAGCCAAGTGGCATATGATGCTGGAAAGTTGACACGGGGGTGGATGGAAGACAAGAGGAAAATAAGCAAATGGAAATCCATGGTCTTATTCCCTGTAACACCTGATGCACTAGGAATTTGACTTGCAAAGGTGAAATGTTGCAAAAAAAGGAGAAAAAACGCAAGTGACACGGAGCTTACCGAACGAGAAAGGTGAGGTAGGAAGCGAGAGAATAAGGTAGCGGCGGAAGGGGGAAAGGTGAAACTACGCCGTCAAGCAAAATCATGGTCATCTGGATAACGGGCCTGGCACCTGCCAGACAAAAACCGAAGAATTTGGGAATGAGGGAAAGAGCCAGGGTCTGCCGGGGGGGGGGGGTAGTCAGTGGACTAAGGAGGAGGGTGCGGCCGTAATCTTACCGTGCCTGTCGCCATCGCTGACAGGCCAAGCTCCCCGCCGTCATTTGCTGCTGGCAGGTAGCTCGCACGCAGCTCTGGTCTTGACGGCGTCGGAAATCTATAAGGTATGATCGGGGTCAGGAATCGGCGCGAGGATGGTCCTAGGTACGAACCGATGAGGGGGCCCATGATTGAAGGCTAACAACTAAGGTACTCTACCGCAAGAGAAATATGTATCTTTGTACTTCAGGATGCGAACCAGGCCTCGGTGTTCCTGGTTTCTTTTTTCTTGAAAATCGGCTTTGAAATTTCCTCGCCTGTTCCCTAACTCTTTTGTAGTGCTGCCCGCAACTTCCGGGACTGCCCCGAGCCGGCACCGGGTAGATACCAAGCTTGAGGTGCATGCCTGGTCATGGGGGGGGGGGGTGGGCGGGCTGGCAGCAGATCGAACAGGGTGATACGCGGCGACACTGATCTACCTTATTACTCCATACGGCACAGGTGGTGGCTTTGGGTTCAACGAGCCAGAAATGTGCCTGCCCGCGTAGCCGGGGTACATAGAAGCAAGTGAAACTGACGGGCAGCCCCATTCTGGGACGGTGCTCTGACCACGGCCATCTCGGACGATGTTCTGATGACGACCATCCCGGGCGGTACTCTAACGATGACCATCTCATCTCGTTCGGCGAAATTCTGATGGAGCGATGTCCCTCGAATGAGGCGGGCGGTTTTTGTCTACGTACCTTAGGGACTTACAGATACCTGTCAATACCTGCCTTGGCCTGTCATGGAACCCTGCACGTGAGATCGTGGAGACATGATGTAGCTTTGGCGCGGTCCATCACGAAGGAAAGAAGAGGCGACAGTGTTGTCAGTTCCCAGAAGCTAGCG